GGAGCGACTGTGGGAGCCCCGGCATACAAGTAGGATGGTACCCAGGCTAAGCAGTAAAGGGACAAGTTGCTTAACTAGCTACATGACAAGTCCCTTTATTTTTTGGTACCGCAAATAACTAGCCTACGATACAAGATCAACCATTTTCTGTAATCATTCTTGTCAGGTTTCTACTCTTTTTCCCCCATTTTCTGAAGGCCTTCAAACATGGCACCCTTAAATTAAAAGGTGACAGACATTGACATTCCAAAGTCAAAGTGGCCGATCAGTTACATAAAGCCTGATGCAACAGTTACTTTAGAATTTCTGCTCTGTCACACTTGTGTAAGGCTACAACCTTCGAGAACTTTCACATGTACCTTTGAAAATTTGCAAGACACTGCATAATGATCATTCCAAAGTCAAAGTGACAGCGTTATATAAATTTGGCTGATGCAACTTTAGAATTTATGCTCCCCACATTCTTGTGTAAGGCTTCAACCTTCCAGAAGTTTCACATGTACATTGTACAACTACAAACCCTGCATGTGTCAAGCCCTGATTGGTCCAGAGTAAAAGTCATGGCGTCATGCTGATAATTTATCGACTTGAAGCATCGGGGTCGCTTGTTTTGTCCATTTTGGTTATTTGCCATCTTGATAAGGTAAATGCTGTGTGGTATAACAAGTGGAAACTTCCATTCTTCTGTAACCATTTCGCGGCCACGTTGTTGACACGCGTGTAAACGTTACCACGCTAGAAACACGTGCCGTCTTTCCACAGTCCAACGTACAGCCATGGATTGATATTGTTAAACATCAGTCCCCAGAAGTAGGTTAAGGTGTAAGGTGAACACAAAAGTTAACATAATTGTAGGTAATCTCCAAGCAGATCCCTCTCGGTGGCAAAAAGACTGTATCAAATTGGCCAGGCAGTATCCATTAGCTAGAGAAGGTCGCCGGCCACCGACTGTTGGTGGGGGTAGCGACAAAAAAAAAAAGACAGCCATATATAAAAAGCTAACGATCATTCCCCCACAACCTCTGCTTGGAGAGTAAATTGTAGGATGCAATTTTTTTTGTTTAAGATGACTGGTAGACTGTTTAGAGAAAAGTTTTCAGTCAACATAAAAAGTTATAGCAATTTCTACAGTAGTTTTCATAGGATAATATATTGTTTATTGTTAACTATTTTCGGATGAATTTGTGCTGTGGTTTGTGTTCTACCATTTTGTTTGCTTTGGAATAGCAGTAAACCACATCAGTAACATTGGCACCTGTTTTGTACACTAAGTACAAGCTGCATAAGACCAGACTGTAAAGTTTGGGGTTCACTCACAATAGGAAGAACCCCTACTCTTATTGATAAGTGCGGTGGGCTCTCCTCAAACACGGGACCTCTGGCTTAACGCTGTATCCAAGAAAATATTGCCAACCTAAGTTATGTTGAACTTCTCATTTTCACAAAGTGAGGAAATAGGTACAAATTACCAAAGAACAAAACATTAGGGCCTGCTACAGATTCGAACCTAGAACCTCCAGATGCTTATAGTCAACACTTCTCACCATAAGACCATTTTCCTACCACTTTTCAACCTTTCCATTGACACGTGTGATAGCAGTAGATTGTACAAATTTTTGTAGACTTGCTAGATGATGCAAGTCAAAGGCAATGTCAGCCAAGTTGAACTCAATGTTCATTTTTTTCTAAAAATATGCATGTTTCCATCATGCAATCGTTTTTCGCCCACGCTACAGACACGTGAGGCATCCGTACCTTGCACGGAACACTCGTTCTCTGTTCGTAGTCCAAGGGCGCGCTGACCTTCAGTGTACAATAGATGACCTCTACATTGAGAAAGTTCCGCCCAATCACTATGAAGAAGTTCACTTATTATCCATCACAATATCATGTTAGTGAATTATTGAACAAATAAGAGTAATACTATATCATAATTTTTTTTCAAGTTCCAACAATTTCAAGTTCTTCTCACACAATTTGCATTTTTGTATACTTGATGATCTTTATTTTCGTTTTTTTTAAGTAAGAAAAACAGAATCTTTTATTTAGGCTCTTACAAGAAAACCTGTTACATGTCTTGAAGAGAAATAAGGTAATGCCTTCAAACCTAAGTGGCTTTCAACCTAGCCAGCTGCAGCCAGTATGTGGTACATTAAAAAACACGCTGACTATAGAATTTTCGTTCAATTTATCTCTTTTGTTAAATCAATATGTCAAGTTGCGGCTGTTACATGTACAGTGTGCAAAAAGTGAAGTCATCCTTACTAAGCAGAATCGTACCATAAATTTCAAATATATCAAAATGATATGGATCAGCCTTTATGGTAACGACTGTTGCTCTGAATAGCTAGCCTCCGTAGCAGGCTTATAGAACTGGGGGTTTGGTGGTCTTCGGCTGTTTTCTTATTAATATTAGCCAAAAACGGGGGTAATTCAACCATTATGCAATCAGAAAATAGCACATAAAAGCTCCCAAAGACCATGAAGACCCCCCAAACCCCCAGTTTTTGGCATGCTATGGAGGCTAGCTGATAGCCCACTCAGTTTGCGTAGCGCTCTTTACTGTGTCAACCATTGAGTAAACGAGATAGCGATGACACTCAAACACTGGGCAGCGATAACTGTCGGTCTCTCCATTGTGCTGTAGGAATCAGGAAAGGTGTTTACGTGCTGAAGACCATCAGTGCTTGTCGTGTACGTGACAAAGTGACCATCTCTCACACAAAGTACTATGAAGGTTGTTCACCCCAAGAATTATTCTCAGTTCTTTTTATGGCCCTGCAAGGTTCATTGAAAAACGAAAGATGTAGCATTGCTTGCAATTACCGAGAGAAATAAGTTTAAGGTTTTTCATAATATAGTATCGTAGGCTGTCTCCTATTCTAAAAATAAGCCTTGACAAAATTGATGTTACATTCTACATGTACAGTCCCCAACTTTTCCCCAAGTATTGTCCAAATTATCTTGATGTGTTCTCAACTTGTATAGGCAAAATGAACAAGCCATGGTGTATAAAAACGTATTTTTTTACATCTACAAACAACTTGGCAATGCATACAGCATAATAAATGACAACTGCATGTATGTTCAACTTGCCATTTTCAGTACCCCCCTTAAAATTTTCAAATTTTGTACAACCCAGAAAAAAATTAAGCATATACGGTATACATGTACCTGTAATGTTTATTGAGTGTTGCTGTGTTGAGTTACTTAGTGTCAGAACCACCTGTCAGCACTATGGACACACCTGTCGTGTGTCTCACCTGAGAGAAAACAGCAGGTGGGGCAGTCAGAAACACCTGCTGGGGGGACAGAACTCACAAAGGTCTCCCACACCTGAACAAAATTATTACTTTTACACTTCCACATACACACCTAGAGAATAGGCAATACTGTATGGAAATTCTGCCTTAATTTCCCTTCATGATAGTTTCTGTCAATTCTGACACATTCATTCATGATAGACTTTACTGCACAACAATTGTAGTGACAATAAATACTATGAAGCTAATGTAGCTTACAAAGACTTAAGTGTAGTATGGGATGATAATGTGCTTTTACTGAATCATTGTCTCAATCAAAAGTTGACACAATGTTTCCTCAAGTAGCCCTGTACAGCTTTGAAGATCTTAAGACAGATGTAAAGAAATTATTATAATAGCAGAAAAATCCAAGACAACCTTTTACTTCTTGTGATTTGAGAGTTACCAGTAGCATCACTTAACGTCCGTACAAAAGGACGCTGACCTGGATCCATCTTGTAATGTCTGCTTGCATCGTACGATCGCCGTGATCGTTTGTTTTACCGGAAGAAACATTAACTAGTGTTTGAGGAAAGATTACTCAGTGTAGAGCTATGTTATCAGTGCTCAGACTTGGTAATTTGTGGCTGGAAATTCAATATAACCAACCATTGAGGTTAATTTCTGGTCCGGATGAAATTCCGCCTTTTGATATGACCCGTAAAGCTGTTTTTCAGTAGCCTCCACAGCAGGCTTATAGAACTGGGGGTTTGTTCGTCTGATTGTTTTCTGATTAGCCCAGTTCTAAAAACGGGGGTAATTCAACCAGGCCGGCTATGTTGTCTATATGCAATCAGAAAATAGCACATAAAAGCTCCCAAAGACCATGAAGACCCCCAAAACCCCCAGTTTTTGGCATGCTATGGAGGCTAGTTTTTCAGGACATATACTACTGAATTCTTGTTAACTTGAAGCTAAAAAATGATGGAGCTCTGCAAATCCATGCCAGGATGAACTTGCTATAAGGCCATGTTTATTTGATTATATGGATGACATCCTCCGGGAGCCCCAAAACTGATGCATGCGTGCGAATAAAAAAAACGTTTTGCAAAAAAAAAAAGTTCTTTTCATTATGAAATCTACGTGGTCATGAGGGTTGAGCAAATGGCACAGAATATGGTTTGGCGAATAATGTAGTCTTCAAGTTCATTTCTTTACAATTTCGTCTTTTTCGTTTGATTTTGGCATTCTACAACATTGGTATAGTTTTTTTTTTTTTGGTAACTTACGGTATATTTTTGCTCATTTTGCAACTGTTTTGTACGATTTACAGTATGGTTGAAAACCTTTTTTTTTTGGAAACGGCTGAAAATTCATGCGCGCGTGGATGTCATCCATATAATCAAATCAACATGGCCTAATTGTCAACCAAAAAATGTAGGTAATAACTGTATTAGCCCTGTGGTGAGTGTAACCACTGTCTCAACAGTGTACAGGGAACAGCTATTAGGCAGCCGCTATTAGTGGCCATGTCATGATTGGTCGGTAAACTTCAGGGTTTACTCACCAAACTGTGTGGGCAAACAACAAGGCTGGAGCTTATCCTGTGGGAGACTGGGTAATATAACATCTGCTGGGTACATGTACAATGTAACACACAGGTACAGAATGGGGTTGAAATTTAACCGTCACATGTGCAGTTTCAAACTTTAAGTTAGATGATGACTTGTATGGAAGAGATGCTGTTTGACTCAGGGTTTATTCAACAAACTGTGTGGGCAAACAGCAAGGCTGGAGCTTATCCTGTGGGAGACACAGTAATATAACATCTGTTAGGCAAAACACACAGGTACACACTCAGGTAGAAAATGAAGAAAATAATGAAGAAATGGATGGGTGGATGAATTTTATCGCTCAACAATTGTACAAAGGGGTAGTAATGGTTTTTGTACAAAGACATACCGTAATACACCATCTATTAGGTACAATATATCACATATATGCTATATGGAATGGAGTTGAAATTTAACAGTAACACTTGCAGTTTCAAAGTTAGCTTCGTGCTTTAAATGAAAGAGAAACAGTAACAGTTTGATATCTAGTGAGAAAAACATTTACAGGGTAAGGAATAACTTATGGGCCACATTATTTTACAACAGGTGGGGTTTTCTCATCTCCCCATGTGAACAGGTGTCTATTCACTCATACACTCTCTTTATCTAGTGTAACGTGTAGCTTTAGTAGTTCAAACAACTTTCATCTTTTCAAAGTAACTAACAATGTGTGACATACCAGCCTTATGCAGTGCAACTCTCTGTCACCTAGTACATTTTGGATTTAATAAAGGAGTGTGTTTCTATCTCCTTAGAGAGCATGTGAACAAGATGAGGGAGACCTTAGTCTTTTCATGACTGTCAACAAGTTTTTTTAAAGACATGTTTCTTCCCCCTCAGGGAGCATGTGAACAAGCGTAAGATGAAGACAGTGAATTCTGAAGGAAGCTAAGAAGTCCTAAAGACACATTTCTTCCTACTTAGAGAGCATTAGAGTAAGATGAAGGTGTTAGTCTTCTTAAAGATGGTCAACAACTTTCTCAAAGACATTTTTTGTTTCACCCCAGGGAGCGAGTGAACAAGAGAAAGATGAAGGAGACAGTGAAGGAGTTCTCCCTGCTGTGCCGGGGTCTGTACGGGACTGAGTACGCGGCGGAGACGGAGTTCGAGCTATGACAGTGGGTCTGTGCAAACGCAGAGTCGGACTGAGACAGGGACAGGCTGGGCTTAGATAGCCTCCACCAGATCAACATAACAACTCACTCACAAAATCACTCCCCCTCTCTTTCTCTTTCTCTCTCTCATCTCTCTCTTCTCTTTCTCCCTCTCTTTCTCCATCTCTTGCTCTCTCCCTCTCTCTCTCCCTCTCTCTTTCTCCATCTCTTGCTCTCTCTCTCTCCACCTTTCTCTCTCTCTGTCTCTCAGGCCCATAGCCACAGGCAGACTGTCTAAGAGCGTGGGTTAAAAAAAACAGTAAAATGTGGCCAAATAAGGAGCTAGATTGACCACTGTAGGGTTTCTTTTTCCCATAGAGTTAAGGGGAAATGTATCCCTAACTGCATGTTCACTCTCCTGGTCTCCTGGCCTTATTACACACCAAATTCTACTATGCATAACACCTTAGGGGTTTAGGATAGTAACCGTATAGCCTGGTGGAGTCTATGTCTAAGCTAAGGCAGTCTCCAAGTAGATGTAAGGATCCAATTCACTCCCAAAGTGTAATGCAGGTTTTTGCAACATTTAGAAGTATTGCATTTTTTAAAAGGATTTGCATCCTCCTATATCTTAAACATATGAATGTGCAATTCACTAATTAGAATGAGATTGCAAAAACTTGTGTATGATACTTGACTGAGTTGGATCTTCACATCATCTATTTGGAGATTAAAAAATCTGTGGGCTAATCCATTCTACAGGCACTCAGTGCCTCCCCCGTGTTTGAAAAATGGAACGGCCCAGGTCCACATGTATGTGAAGTATGTAAGTGTCAAACTGTGGGTCGTTTTGATGTTGTCATGGCAACAGCCATTCCTGGCTGCTGATTGGTGGACTGTGAGGAGGTGCAGTCCTCTGAATGTCTGTTTTTGCACAAAACAATAAAACTCAATAAAACACAATAAAATCTTTAAAAATAGTCAAAAGAAAAAGAGGGAACACTGAAGTACAAGCCTTTGTGAGTTGTGTTTGGACTTGAACTTGTTCCAGAAACTGTAGACGCTTCTCAGATACCTGTTTTTGCACAGCAAGTCTTCACCTAAAAACCAAGTGAAATTCTCCTATATCAAGGTCACACCAAACCACTGTCCTCTTGTAGTAGGCCTGTGCTCTTCAGCTTGAACTTGTACATGGTCCCAAAGCTCAAAATACAAGGCCACACAATACAACTTTCTTTAACTTCTAAGTCAATATTTGAAACACAACCTAAACCTGCACCAGGCTTTCTCCCTATTATTTCCACACCAATTTGGTTTGTGGACATTTTAACTTAAAAGATAATTTCGTCAGGGTACCATCCTCTGTTTGCTGACCTTCTATAATAATTTGGATGTGGCCTACGTAAAGAGATGCCTAAAACCATCAAAAATTTGGTGTGGCTTTTTTTAGAGTTGATAACACTGTAGCAATCAGTGAAATCAAATGTAGCAGTCATTTATAACCGACCACTCAAATGAAAATAAAACCAAGGCCAGGAAGTTTTTATATATCATTCCCCCATCTACCCACAGATTTTATATTATCAACACTTTTGGATGAATTCAAAATAGTCAATCTGAAGACTGTTAGTATGTAGTTGTAGAGACTTCTTAAACATGTAAGAATGGAGCTGAGGTCTTATAAAATAAACATAGTCAGGGCAGTAGGAGCTTTTTAAAAGCAGTTCACAATTGTTTTCAGACTATTCAAAAATCAAATGTGACAAAATACTGTAGCCATAATAATTGTATCTGAAATGTTATCGTTGATACCTTACATATGTTACTGTTAGCTCAAAGCTATTGGTTAGAACTAGAACGATAGTACAAACATATGCAGCATATCTTGGAAGCTGTTAGACCAAACTTCGTTTTTGTCGTTTTATGTGCAACAGTTAAGTCTTCAAGCAGATACGAGGAGCAATTATACCTTCTTAAAGTTCTGTTAGTAAGAAGGCAGGACAATGAGAAAACATGACATACCCTCCTCGTATCTGCTTGTATATGTTTTTAGGCCCTAAAAGGGATATATTAATATTAATCATAATACCGTGATCATATCTATAACCCTGTATATTATTACATGTTTAAGGTAAAACAGGGTACATTCCTAATGATATCAGCAATAATTAGGTTTTAAATAGACTGGCTTTTTTTCTCAAAGAAAATCTACATAAAAACTACATCATTTAGTAGAAGCTTCTTGTAAAGAAACAAGTCCTTTTTTTTTCCTGCCAACAGTTTGATAAGAAGACCTTGGCTGTGTATAGGAAAACTGTAATATCATCTGATCAGTTCATAGATACTTCTGTATAATGTGCCATTTCAAGTGAAGCTAAGAAATCTTAAACATACACTTAAGAGTTATCAGGTTGTCAAGTACTGTTTAATAAATCAGTCTTAGGGAAATTGTCTTCACACTTGAAACAACGTCTTTAGTTTAAGTCTTTCAACAAAGGAGGGTTTTAAATTACAACTTTCTTGTTATAATCATATTATGTCAAAGAAATTCCAATCATAATTGAGAACCAAAAAGTTAAGAGTCAGAGTAAAGATTTTACAATGATGAAATAAAAATGTTTTAGAAATAAAGCTGAGTAAGCTGAACCAGACTGTCGCGTTTTTGTTTGTTCCGTCCCAATAACTTCAGAGGAAAGTCAAATAAGTTGTTTTTACTTTCTTCATATTAGAATGAAACAGACCGCTCAAGGAATATCATAGGAGAAGAACAATTTTTCACAAACGTCCAAATGGAGTTCTTTGACTTAACCAACAATACTTAACACAAGTTACCGACAATGCTGTATATAAGTGACATAAAACTTAGTTTGCGTTACGTGTCAGTAAAACTCATTCAGACTCATCTGGGAACTTCTTCCTAGAGAGACCTGTTTTGTAACTACAGAAGTGTCCTGTAACTGTCTAACTAACACGTTATTTATTAACTTTGTGGACGATTCTGTGGTACGTATCTGCGACCTACTATCTCCAAGCCTGTTTTATGCGCGTTTTGCGGTATTTTGGACGTCTCACTTTCTTGTAGTCCGCGATTTTCTCTCCAGTCGCTGTCCTTACAAAACAGGTGGCTAGAAAGTTGAACAAAACGCTGAAAAACACGTGTAAACTAAAAGCAAGCTGCACCCTACATCTGCTTTGAGATAACCTGCAATACGCAACAGCGGGGTTCGGCCGGTAAAACATGTTCTATAAAACTTGCGCATCGTTTTCCAAAAGTCACAAATTGTTTTACAACTTTTAAGAACGCAGTAGAAACTTCCATATTGATTGTTCTTAGATGTTTTGCCCGTTTCGTTGCAGCTACGCAACCGCATTAACTTCCTTATCTAACAAAAAGAAAAGTTTGCGGCCACGGCAAAAAAAAAAAAGATTATGTAAACGTACGTGAAAATCAATGATTCTCCCAGATCGACATCGTAAACTTTGTTCACGCCACGCTCCACAACCTTTTCTAATCGCGATGTTTGTTTAAAATCACGTCGTGTTGATTCAACTATCACGCAGCTAACGCGTGGTCCGGCCGGCGAAAACTTACTACCCAGCGAGTTAATACGTCACTTAAGAGGGTTTCCCCCGATCGGTCAGCGAAAAAAAAAGATCGTGTTACCCCTGTTCACGTGAACACTTGGCGCTGATTGGTCCAAAGTGACGTATAGGTCATGATACACAGGCACGTTTACTCCATGTGCGCTTTTCAACGGCTCAAGTTGACGTTCCGCTAAAAAGTTTGAAATAGTCCCAAAGGTGATCGCGTTGAGTATTTCTGTATTAAAAGCAGATTTTGTGCTAAAGTTTGCAAGAAAATCGCTTCCGTAGCTTCCCTGTGTAAACTTTGGCACTCTGAACAACATGTTTTCACCTGATTTCGAAAATACCTGTTACCTATTATTTGCGCACGGACGAAAAACAACTGATCACGCCACGGGTCATCGCACTCGCCCTAAACTCAAGGTTAGAGGGGGGTTCGGACCAAAACCTGATCTTTTAATTCCACATTTTCACCCAATTTTGCTTCAATTAGTTAGGGTGCGTTGTTTAATAGTGGTGAATTACGTTATTACGTTACCATGGTAACGGAAACGAAGAGAAAATGTTGAAAAAAATTTACATCATTTTGAAGACACCCCCTCTATCGGAATGGACCCGTCCGTTGTTTGTTCCTCTTCGCCCTATTATCTCCCTGAGCGATCTCGTCTCTGATTGGCTGACGGGGAGAAAATGTGATGTGCGATGCAGAATCGGGAAGATATAAAAGGAGCGGCGAATCCCGAAGTTCTCATCTTTCTGATCAACCAGCGAAAAGGTACTGCGTACCGTACTACCAAGCAAAGTCTTGAAACAGACGAAGAAGAACCAAGATGAAGCTTCTTATCGTTTGCCTGCTTGTTGCAGGAACACTGGCTGGTGAGTGTCTTCATCCTTAGTTATTCTTCTTAATTGTGCAGATTTAAACCTTTCAATGTCTTTTATTGTGATTTCTTTGTCTTTAGTCTGATCAGATGGCAACGTGCGTCCACTCTCTTCTTAGTCGTTGTGGTTCTTTGTTCTTGTACATTTTCTGGTAGCGCCTCTATGCTCTAGTCTTAGCTCATAGCTCTAAAATCCCTAGTGCTAGCTCATAGCTGGTACAATTTAACTCCTGCCAATTATAAACCATTATGAAATGCTGTTAAACATTTTGCATCATCTTTGAGCATTTGCTAGTCTTTATGTAAAGCTTTATTTCTGTATCGGTCCTATCTTTAAACGTAAGAGAGTGTGTGTACTGCTGTAATACATTGTTCCTACGCCGATAGTTCTTTTAAGAATGAAGCAACATCTGCTAAAGCTACATGTACCAATAGAGATTGCGGTCTTATTCTAAAGCGTTCATTCATTCGAAGACGATACTTGAGTTATGAGACGACAGAGGCGTAACATACTTCTTTCTTCTCCTTCCACAGTGCCAGTCAAGAAGAGCAAGCAAGACATCTTCAAGTGTGAAGGTGAGACATCCCTGTTTTTCTTTCTCCGCTTCTTAAGTTACTTAAGGTTGTTTTTCGCGGAGCCCCGAAGGTTGTTTGTCCGAAATCAGAACGTTCCACTCCCGAGTGGGGGTGGGAAGGTCGGTACGCTGGAACAGCTGTTTTATCGTCAGCTAGGCGCCGGACTTTGGAAAACAGGAAGAAGTTACCCGTACAGGACAAGAAAGGGTTTCTTGCAGTCAAAAAGAGTTTTTACAGTAGAGAGGATGTTAGAAATCTGTCAGCTGCTTTAGCTATTCCATGAGTTGAGTGTGGAGAACATTTTACAAGTGGTAGTGCGAAGATACATACGTCCGATCGCAATTTGAGTTCAGATGGCGATATTTGAGCTTGCAAGAACGTTGTTTTATTTTTCTAACTCTTCGGCGATTTTGTTAGAAGTGGCTTACATAGGTCCTTCCGTTCCTAGTTAGAATATGGCCATGGGCGATGACGACAACCTTAGAAGCAATATGAAGAGCATATTTAAAGCCTAGGTCCTGAGCTGGGTACGCTGTAACATTTTAATATAGGCTAAAATTCCGACTTCGTAAACTAGAAAAAAAGTGCGTGACCGTCCTTTCTTAACGCCCAGTTCCTTCACCTCCTAACTCCGAGTCAGTCACCTTCCAGAAACCTCCGCCGACTCACCTTGACTTGCCCTGAACCTTTGTCCCTTTTTACACCCTTAAGTGGGGTTCTGAACTTAAGAACTTTAAACCCCCGCGTTGCATCATCGTTTCGCTAGCGATGTTGGGTAAATTTGCTCTCCATTCAGGCGTTTTAATCTTGTTTGCCACATAACGGTTCTCGAGCATGTAGCAAACGTGCTGACTGGGCATCGAACGCCGCTCAGCCAATCAGAGACGCCGTACCGTATCTATCGTTCGCTACAATGGCTTATATGCTAATGAGCTCCGTGTGTAAATAAGGTAACATATGGAAGTGCTGATTTGGCAAATCTGCCCGGAGACTAGCGGACTCGGTTAGCGGTAAACAAGTCTGACGTAACGCTTCAGCTCGGGAAAAACAAGTTTGACTGACAGGAGGCAGGTTGTTTTTCTGAGAGGCTGGCATGCTGATCCGACATTCCTAACTGACTTCCCTGGACAATTCTTCCAAATAAATCAAGACTTGCGACAGTTTAATAACCTTAAGAACTTGATAATACAATCAGTGAATAAATTCTCCGGCTTTAGATTTTACTGAAAGCTCGACGCATGGGACAATCGGCTTTCTTTTCTTCGTGTTGCGATTTTTAGTAGGCGGTGAAGCAGTGCCGTTTGGAAAAACAATTTTAGAAACGCGAAATCAAATGAGAATCTTTTCATAGATTTCCAACTTGATGGCTCTTTTTATTTCTTTGGGCAACATTTTTTAGCGATCGACATTTTCAAATCCTGTTTTTTCCCCAGTTGAGTTAGGCAAGTTTTACAGATGTTCGTGATTTGTTACCTGCGTTTGACCTACTGACTTCGTCCGGTGGAAGGGAAAAACATGACGCAACCTACTTGCTGCAGTTCGGAATTGCTCCGCTAGGTAGCGCTTGTGTATCGCTTAGTTAGGCAAAAGTTTCTCAAAACTTTGTGAAAGGCTGATTGGATGTGAGATATTACGAGGGGGCATTTTGAAAGCACAGTTAAGTCTTTATAGCTGTTTGTTTTTTCCCTACAATGCTTTCTTTTTCTTTCCTATTTCAATAGCTAACCTCAGATTTGATACTGATAAATATTTTAAAGCAAGTTTCTCCTGATTTTGTTATTTTTCCTAATTGACTTGTTTCTCCTGTTTTTTTTAAAATCTGTTAATAAAAATATTTCTTTCTTTCCTTCTTTATCTATCTTATAATTTTTGTCCTTACAGAAGAGAGAAATCGCTTTAAGGAAGGAGTAAGGTACAGCTACATTTGTACAAGTTTCTCCTGTATTATTTGGTTAAAAAAATATTTAATATGTTTGTTTCTTTATTTGTTTGTCCTTACAGAGCAGAGAAATCGCTTTAAGGAAGGAGTGAGGTACAGCTACAAGTACGAAGGCGAGGTGAGCAGTGGAATTGTGGGGCTGTCTGAGGACCGCACCGGACTCAAGCTCAAGTGTAATGTCCAGGTAAGTACGGAAACACTGTTTAATGTTACTTGTACATACTGTTATAATGATGTTTTATTTTGTTTTTTACTGTAGTTGAATTTTTACTGTAAAGTTTGGCACAATTAAGCTGTGGCTACAAAGCCAATCTACTGTGGACCCAATTTGTTCATTTTTGTTTGTTTATTGTTTATTGGCATTTTCCACAAAGTGAAAGGGAGGGCAAAACAGGTGCATACACACCTTTACAAGTTGCCCTCCCCTTTTAAAAAAACACATGTACAACAACAACAACAAAAACAGTTTGTTTTGGGCCCTTCCAAACGCCATCATGTCATCGGACTTACTGTTGAGGGGGTGATATCTGAGACACAAAGTCAAATCAACAAAATAGACATGTATGGCTACCATTTCAGATAGAAAAAAATTATATGTCCCCATACCTTAACGATAAACCAATCACTACTCCTACTCCAGGTCGAGGTCCCCGAATCCTGCGAGCTGCTGCTCCGTACGGAGGGCTGTGTTCTGGAGGAGATGGTTCGCCCGGAGAAGTACCAGAAGGCGCCCAACTCCCGCCAGTTCTCCATCGCCATGTCTGAGCGCCCGCTCTACTTCCGCATGACCCGCGGAGAGGTACGTCAGGCTTTGTTGCTGTTTTAATTTATCATAATCTTTATAAAATCGGCCTGAAAAAGTCTTTTGGTTTGGGTTTTTACCATAATCTTCACAAAAACAGCAGAAAAAAGTTTAGTGTTCTTCATAACAACTCCTTTTCACCCACAATATTTGACTGATCGCTAGTTTAACAAATTTCATAGACCCGGGATGATTTTCGTTAAGTTTTGCTGTCTTTTAACTTGCATTGTTGCATCATGTATCATATTCTGATAACAGCATCAAGAGTTGAACAACTTCAATTAATTTGATTCACTCAAGCATTTCATTACCGTATTATAGTTCACAAAAAGTCAATGCAACTCTTAGAAAAGTACAAAATCCTTATGCAATCACTGCTGGCGTATTGACTTGTTTACTAATGTTTGTTTGTTTGTTTGTTTACAGGTGTACGGAGTCTACCCCAGCGTGGATGAGCCCATCCAGATCCTGAACATCAAGAAGGGCATCCTGTCCTCCCTGCAGGTTCAGCAGGTTCAGGAGCCCGAGAGGGTTCACCAGTCCAGGAACACCACCGTCAACGTAAGCGGATTAGACTTGTCTTTTTTCTGAGAAATACGTCTTTAAGTCTAATCTTGCTTCTGAAAAATGTGCCTTGAAGACATTAGCATTGCTTCCTTTACAATCTAATCCCCAGGAGACCCAAATTCTAAATTAAAATAGTAATGTAGAGAAGTGTAAAACAAGTTGAATTTCTTTTCTTAGTCTGCTTTTTTTCCAGAGAAATGCAATTCTTTAAGACTTTGGCACTGTTCCACTAGGTTTCCCTTTAATTTTGATACTTTGACATCATTTTTTTTAATAACAAAAGATAACATAAATTTTGACATTTTAAACTTTGACATCATTTGCGGAACCAAAAAAATGTAGAAGTGTAAGAAAAAGTTAAAATAGTTTATTAACGGCCGATAGAGCACTTTTGTCTAGTATAATTAACTAGCTTTCACATTCTTTAAACGTAAAAAAAGTAATAGAGTAAGACTCAAAGTTTGACATCTGCAATGTCTTTAAGACTTATATCCTCTGCCCTCCCCCCTCCTCAGGTTACTGACATCCACGGCAACTGCTCTGCCAACTACACCGTGTACAAGATGAAGCAGGGACGCACCGTTTACAACGTCAGCAGGGACCTCAGCAACTGCACCCGCCCCAACAAGACCATCACTGAACTGTCCCCTCTGTCTCTCCTCAAGAACATCAGCGTAAGTAGTCATTACTGGAGAGTCCCTTGTGAAGTTGATGAAAACTGTAATAATTTTGGCATGAACTTCTGAAACCACTTCTCGTCAATTTGAAGAAATTGGTTGTTACAAACAGTAGTTTTGGCCTGAATTCTTGAAATGGTCCCATATTCCATTGATGAAACTTCTTGGATCCCTTCTACTTTTAGTTGCTTTCAAAATTCATGTTGTTGAAATGTAACCCATTTGTCAACAAAGATACTGAGAAACAAAGAAACAAAGAAAATCTTGATCTTCCAAATGGCTTTTAAGAATTTTCTGTTTATTTTATATCTATATTCTACAATACAGTACATGTAACATCCGTGTCCATAATATCACCAGGGTCCATAATATCGCCACCTTGAGAAATAGTGTGCTTAAAGATATTTTTACTGCAACATACCCTAGGTATGTACATTTCAGGTGTGCAGGAGTGCATACCAAAAGTACATGTATGTTGCAGTAGAAATATCTTAAAGCCCACTATTTCTCAAGGTGGCGATATTATGGACCCTGGTGATATTATGGACACGGATGTTAGATGTTAGTAAATGCAGGGTCTGAAATGTGTTGAAATTTTGATGACGTTTTTACAGCTTGAAAGTGACTTATTCATCTTTTTTTCCCCCGAACAGCGCCAGGTGGAGACCAACCTGAACTCCACCCAGAACTGCAGTTACGAGATTGACCGTAAGGGGCAGATCCGCGAGGTTTACTGCCTGGAGCAGTACACGGTCCTGCCTCTCTCCTCCAACCAGAGCCGCACGGGCGTGCAGACCAACATCACCGTCGTGCTCAAGAAGGGATCCACCGAGACCATGAACAGCAAGAAGATCGACACCTCTCTGGGTAAGGAAATACGGATTCTGAATCTTTAACCACTTTGCTGTACTGCACAACTTAGAAAAGTATTCAAAGTTACTTACTGAGACCATGAACAGCAAGAAGATCGACACCTCTCTGGGTAAGGAAATACTGAATCTTTAACTTTAACTTTTAACAGCTTTGCTGAACCTACTATAGACCATTTAGACTTTAAAGTTACCCACTGAGACTATGAATAGCAAGAAGATCGACACCTCTCTGGGTGAGGAAAAATGCCTCTAAAGCTTTCAAACGTTTATCACTACTAGAGACATTCAAAGTCACTCCTGACAGTGTGTATCTTAGAAATACAGGATGTCTTCTAGCTTTATGTATACCAAATTTCTCTTTTCCTTTGAGTTAGTTATTACTAGACCCATTATAAATGCACACTTATGCTTTCTTATGCTAAGTTGAAGTTGAAGTTGAAGTTTCTATTCCTTTCAGCAGATGGTTAGTCAGTGCTAGCTCCTTTAAATTCAACATTTTCGTCTTCTCTTAACATGAATTACACTGACCATGGTGAGACACAAGTGTACAAGAAAATCTCACTATTTTTTATTCTATGATTTAATCTAAACCATGTCATTTTCCTTCTGTTTTCCTCAGAGGGCCGCCGTGTGTGCAACCTGACCTACGAGTTTGAGAACATTACCGTTCCATCCAACACCTCCATCAACACCACCCTGGACATCCTGCTGCAGCTGGTCAACACCACCAAGAACACCACCCAGCTCAACTCCACCGTGCTGTTCGACCGCTTCGTGGCCTCCCTGCGCAGCCTGAAGAACGAGAGCCTGTTCCAGCTGTTCCCTGTCGTCTACCAGAACCAGACCGGAAACTTCTCCTGCAACGCCACCCAGCAGATCGCTCGCGACTACTTCGTCCAGGTACAGAACATGCTCCCTCAAGCACAACTTGTACCAAAGATGTTTAAATTTCCTTTCACAGCAATACATTGACAGCACGTTGTTAGATTCTAAATGTAGTATATTGTTACCAACTGTACATGTAGGTTGTGAATTTGATATCAAAGAGTTGAAGAAAAGTAGCTACTGCTTTGAATTCTCTGCTTTGCAATCAACATTTAAGAGAGGGTTTAGGAGTCGAACACATGCCTTCTCTTAGTCTTCTCTCATAACTTACCTTGAGAAGTTACTTGAGAATCCCTCAGTGTTAGAAGCATAGGCTATCTGCCTGTTGCAACACCCTCTTCTCACTCCTGGTATTTCCTCTTGTCCCAATGGTTATCCAGTCTTGTTTTGAAAATGTTCACACTTTCAGCACTTGCTACACTGTTGGCTAAGGAATTCCACAGCATTGGAAGGAACTTTAACTAACTTAAAACTATTTAAAATTCATTTTGTAGGCCCTGCCTCAGTGCGGCTCCGTGCCCTGTTATTTACCTGTTATTAACCTGCCCTCCTGAATTCCCCCAGGCCCTGCCCCAGTGCGGCTCCGTGCCCTGCATCTCCCTCATCAGCCACGCCATCATGAACGGGACCATCAACGGCACGACCTCCGACCTGCTGATGTACAGCCTGGCCTTCATCACCGAGCCAACCCTGCCAATCATCAACCAGACCCTGAAGGTTGCTCTCCTGAACCGTACCCGCCCAGCCCTGCTGTCCCTGTCCACCCAGATCTACAACTTCTACCAGAAGAACCAGGTGGGTTTTGGAATCTCATAGTTTCCATAGCTACTGGTCTGCTACAGAGTGATACAGACTTTTCTAAATGCATTTTACTGTAATCTGTGTTTCAAACGCAGCAAGTTTTGTTTATTTTATTGCACGGTTTTGTCAGATGGGGCATTTAAAAAATAGTCTTGAATGGTTAAGAGACGAATTAAATGTCGTTAATCTTTTAAGTTTCTTTAAAATGTTTGTCAGTTTTGTAAATCACAACTGTTACTCATGCTTGACTATGGAATCTTTTTGTTCATCCATCCATCCACTCATTCACTCACTCCATTCTGCAGACTGCCCGTGAGGTGCGTGAGGTCCCCCAGGTTATCCGTGAGTCCATGGACATGCTGCTGAACACCATCAGCTTCGACTGCTCTCCCCTCACAAACATGGCCAACAACCCCCGCGTCGCCATCCAGGTTCGCTTTGGTTTACTCACATCTCCAGTAGTGAATAGTCTTCACTACTCTTCCCGGAGTCCATTAATACAAAGTAATACAAATCATAACAACAGATAGAATATATGTAAAAGTAAAATTATCAACCGAATTAATAGAAGACTAACATACATGTAAACTGAACTGAAAATCACAATAATCATTAATGATCACGAAAGAAAGGACCTTTTTGAAGAGGCCAACAAATTCTATCCTTTGGAGTAAGTTCTTCGTGTTTGTTTCTTTACAGACAAAAAGAAAACTAGTCTCCTCTTAACATCACAAAACCCACACATTATAGAAAAAGTGGGGTCATTCATCTCCCATATGCATTGTCTTGGAAAAGTTAAACCCAATAAGATAGTCGCATACTATTTATTGTTATCCATTGTCCATCCTTTATTTTCATGTTGAACTTGCAATTAGCCTACACGCAAGAACTTGCAATTAACTGTTAATTACTAATCCGTCTCCAGGAGCAGGAGGACATCCTGATCGCCCTGCGTGCCATCGGCAACATGGGCTTCCCCGTCCAGAAGCTCGACAAGGAGCTGCGTAAGGACTTCCGTATCGTGCCCACTCTGATCCGCTGTGCCAAGAACCCCATCGTCCCCCGCAACATCTCCCTCGCCGCCATCCAGGCCGTCCGCCGCATGGAGTTCACTCCTGAGGTACGTTTGTTTGTTTGTTTCTTTATATTGCATAATATTATATAAGACATACAAAGACTTAAAGGATTGCAGAAAATGTGTGGTGAAGCATTTCAAATAACAAATTCGCTGTTAAATGAATCAAGCTACTAGAAAAAATCTCTAAAGAGACAGGCAGACATTTAGTCTAAGGTAGTGTCCACTATCGTTCATCAGTGACTTCAAGCATCAGTTTGAAGTGTAGACTCACCAGAAAACAATGACTTTGTTAATCTTTTTACCACTTTACAGAGTCGAACCCAATCAATTTTTAGATATTTTCTGACGTAGAATTGTACCCACCATTGTCTTCTGTGCTCTTCAAGCATTAATTTGAAAGAATCTGACGATATTTTCCCTCCCCCCTTAGGTCCGTGAGGAGCTGACTAAGATCGTGACCGAGGCCGAGCACGACGTTGAGCAGCGCATCGCCGCTTACATCATGCTGATGAAGAACGTGACCAAGCCTGACCTGGTCCAGATCCTCCGCATCCTGCAGGTCGAGCAGGTCAACCAGGTGGGTACCGCGTGTTTCAACGGTCTTTCAGTGATCTCTGAGGTCTTACAGTGGTTTCCTACTAGTAGGTCATTCAGCAGTCTCTTAGTAATCTCCAGGCCTTTCAGTAATCTTGTAGGTCTTTCGGTCATCTCGTAGGTGTTTCAGTGACCTCCTAGATCTTACAGAGATCTTCAAGGCTTTTCTTAATCAGTGTAGTGGTTAGTGACCCTTTCTTTGGATCATACAGTTTAGGGCGTAAATCCTTAATGTACACTGATCCTTGTACTTGTAAAAAAGCTTGGGGAATTTCATCTGTTCATAGCATCTATCTGTCTTCTTTGTAATGACCTGAGTAGAAGAATACCTCTTCAGTGAGCTAAACTGGGTTAAGATCACTTTCTCACATTCCCTTTTTTTCTCCCCCCCAGGTGCGTTCCTTCATCTCCTCCCACCAGCAGAACATCCTGCGCTCGGAGGAGCCGGTGGTCCAGCCGCTGAGGAAGCTGGTAGAGGAGACTCTGCGTGAGGAGAGGATCACCCTGCCTGAGCAGGAGGATGAAGCCATGAAGTTCAGCAAGAACTACCAGTACAGCCAGGAGATGTACGTCCCTTACACCAACATCGTGAGTACTCGTTTATTTTTTTTTCTATTTTCTTTAAATTCAACTAGACTCTAACATTGCAGACAGAGACTATACAATGTTTGGCTAAATCACATACAATGTATCTGTAACATGACAACTGCAGCAAAGTGTAGATGAAAAGTTTAACAGAGAGCTTGAAAGAAAACTGACTCTGATTTTAGCTCTACGGTATCTATCATCAGTTAAAGTTTTGTATACCAAAAGATTCAGAATGGCAATGCTGTACAATCTCTCTAATAGTCAGGGATTGAATTGCAAGGAGCCTACAATTGAAGGGTCTATAATGACACCTTTTCAGTGGTCTTAGTCACCTCAATACAAAAACGATGCAAATTTAATTCCTTGTTTCTCAGACACAATTTCTGGATGAAAACAATGCAAAAGAAAGAAACCTGAATCTGTAAAGTGATTGTGCTTTGCTTTAAGTTCCATGTTGCTTTTGAGCTACATTTGTTGGTTAAAATTGTCTTCTAATGACTTTATCCTTTCCCTCCCCCAGTCTTGGATCAACCGCCTGCGCACCAATGTGATCTACCACCACGAGAGCCCGCTGCCTCGCCAGATCGCCTTCAACTACACCCTGGAGGCCCTGGGCATGCCCGTCAACCTGTTCGACCTCACCTTCGACATGGAGGGGCTCGAGACCGTCATCGAGACCGTCTTCGGCCAGAAGGGCTACTACCCCGACGAGACCCTGAAGACCGTTCTGAAGAAGAAGCAGCAGCCCAAGAAGTCTTCCCTGGCCAACAACGTCTTGGAGACTCTTGAGACCATGCACAAGGAGGTTTGTTCGTTTGTTTGTTTGGCAAATTAGCCTGCAGGCTGCTTATCATTTAGGCCTTGAAGGAAGAAGTCCTTTTAGGATTAGACAAAATACATAACAAAGATACATTTTACATTCAGTTAAAAGGCACATACACAAGAGTGAGAGCAGATCTATGGTTCATGTCTGTTCAATGATTTCGGTCATTTTCATTTCTGATTTCTGAAAAAAAAAGACTCTTTTATGCCAAATGGTTTATTCATCTGACATTGGAGTAAAATACTCTTTTTATTCAGTGACTTACCAACCAACATGAAGCCTGTGGACGATTTAATTGGATTAGATATTACTAAGTAAACCAGATGAAATTATTCATGGCATTTCTGAATTCTGTTTCCAGGTGCGTCAGGAGCGTGCCTACCCCCAGGTGTCCTCCACCCTGCGTATCCTTGGCAACGAGTTCGGCTTCGTCACCCTGGAGCAGCTGAAGAACGCCACCATCGGCACCCAGAACCCCGTCAAGTTCCTGGACACCCTGAACCGCGGAATCCAGAAGAACTTCACCGCGGCCTGGAAGTTCGTGGAGGCGCGCTACACCCTGCCCACCATCATGGGTCTGCCCCTGAACATCAGCACCAACGGGACCCTGGTCGCTCGCGCCGCCGTCAACGTCACCGCCGATCTGAAGAAGATCTTCACCCAGCCCCGCACCGCCTACGTGAAGACCCAGGTTACCCCCAGCGCCACTGTGAGCATCGTGTCCCGCATGGTCGTCGACTGCCCCCTGTACAGGTGAGAATGAGATTTATTTTATTGGTTCAGCTGTAAAAAGACAGTCAGAGTTGCCTAACTACACTGTAGTTACAAGACTATTTTAAAGGGCTAACCCTGGGGACAAGGACAACAAGCTACATATGATAAGGACAGGACATTAGAATCAAAGTGGGAACTGTTCAGACATTGGTAGGTAGAAATTTTAATGATTGTCAACGAAGGTGTTTGAACATCCATCTCAAGCTCCTTCTCTCCCTCTCTCTAGCTCCGTTGGTCTGCAGATGAACGACACCCTGTACCACTCCTCCAACATCTCCGCTAACGTCACCCTGAAGAACGGCGAGCTCAGCTTCCACCTCAACAACACCGTCGGCCCCGTGCAGGTAATATTAAAATGAATATTCATCCATACACATTTGTAACATTATAACTGTGTTGAAATAAATAAAAAACTCAAGTTTGTAAATTTAAACAATGTAAAACGGGACATTCCCAGTGGCTAGGGTTGTCTCCCTAGGTTTGTTTTAGAAGTGTCAGAACATTCTCAGAGCATTCAAACATTTAATTTAGAACATTAAAGCATTTGAACATTAAAATTTAGAGCATTAAAACATCAAAACATTTAATGTAGAACATTAGAACATGTAGAATATTAGAACATTTCCTTTAGAACATTCCATTTAGAACAATAGAACATTTAGAACATTCCATGTAGAACATTAGAACACTCACAAGTATATCACATTACGCCCCCTCTAGGTGATGAACTACAGCCGGGAGATCTACCTCATCCGTCCCCGTGAGAACCTGACTGAGATCCGCGTGCCCAGGACCAACTCCACCTCCTTCAAGAACTGCACCAACACCACCAACGTGCTCGGCGTGGAGCTCTGCTTCTCCGGCGAGATCGTCAACGGAACCTACCGCAACGTCTCTCACCTGGTCGGCCCCGTCAAGAGCCTCAACATCACCATCGTCCCCACCGACAAGTAAGCAACCAAAAATCCTCACATTTTGTTTTATCAAAAGTTTTGTTTCTTCTGTTGCATGATGGACTGAACCAAATTCAGCAGCTTTTATGTTGAAGACACATGTTCTGACTTCAAGATTTTGCCAAGCTTTGAAGTAATCCGCAAGCTTCTGATCAATAAGTCTGAAATCAACATTTATGGTAAATTTCCAGGAACTTCATTAATGACCATATATGGCAAATTTCCAGCAACCTGATCATAAATTTCCAGGAACCTTAATTTTGACAATATATGGTAAATTTCCAGGAACCTTAATTTTGACCATATATGGTAATTTTCCGGGAACTTCATTTCATTGATGACCATATATGGTAAATTTCCAGGAACTTAACTTCATTGATGACCATATATGGTAAATTTCGAGGAAATTATTATACTTAATGACCATATATGGTAACTTTCCAGGAACCTGACCACCTACTCTGTGGCCATGAAGTACGAGCAGCTGAAGCAGCGTGTTCAGCAGCAGGAGAAGCCCCGCAAGCAGCTCTGGCGCACCAAGTACAGCAACGATCCCTCCAAGTTCAACTTCATCGAGTCCCTGCGCGTGAACTTCTCCGCCCCCGGGCAGAACTACACCCGCAACGTGACCTCCCTGTTCCAGATCAACCGCAACACCACCGAGCTGCTCTGGAACATCACCGTCCCTGAGGTTCAGAACGTCACCGTCTGGGCTAAGGTGGGCAGCTCAAAGACTTGCTTCTTGGAATAGGTCTATGCCAGAGTTTTATGGACAATGGAAAAAGTTCTGAATCGATTTTCAGTTTGTGTTTATTGGTTGAAAGCACATGACAGAAGTCAGCAATAGCAGTATTTGGGAAAGATTCTGTATGAAAATCGAGTACTTGTTAAAAGAGTTTTAGGACAACAATAATGAAAGAAGTTATGAATTGGTTTTCAGTTTGGGTTATTGGTAAGAAATCCTCAACATGTGCAAAAATGTCTTACGATATTGTTGAAAACAACTATAACTGTTGGCTTGTTCCTAATTTGTTCTCAGTATGTATTGTAGCTTTCTTGGTGTCAGAGCACTAAATATTTTTCAATTCGATCTAAAATTTCAATTTCTTCATTTCTCCCCCTCCCCCCAGATTGCCAACGAGTCCCAGTGGTGGAACAAGACCATGAACTACACCATGTTGGTGAACGTGACCTACGCCCCTGAGAAGAACCTGACCCTGGAGTGGCGCTACCTCAACGTCACCTGCAACAAGACCCAGACCCAGAACTACACCATGCTGGCCAACCTCACCGTCTCCAACATGACCTACGCCTGGTCCTCCTCCGTCAACCGTACCCTCAACTCTACCGGCAACTTCACCGCCAACGTCAACGTCACCTACTACTGGTGAGTTTGGGCAGGGAAACTGTTTTATAGACTTCTATAGCCAGTAATATGGCTTGAACAATTCAGATAATGTGACTGTGTTTCTTCCTTTGAAAATGCCAAACATTAGCCTTTTTCAACTTTCATAGTCCTGTCAAATATCATCACCAGTGCTGTAATAGTTCAGATAAATTTTATGTATTTTTTGCCTTTGAAAAATCTACAATTACCTTTAGCTTTTTATAATACTACAGTAACTGTAGTGCATAGTTCTGATAAAAAATGACAAATATTTGATTTAACTTCAATGGAATAACAATCTTTTATAGTGTGGCTTGGCAGATAGTTTGGTTAGACAGAAAACCATGATTCTATAAAACCATAGCAAAAGAAAAAGATTTGCAACTAGCATTATGATTCTCTGAGCCTTTTTTTAACAGTCTTTTTTAATTTCCTTCCCCCAGGGACCCCCAGACCCCCATCCTGGACTGGCTGAAGCCTGAGTACAAGGTGAAGCCTGAGAACATCTCTGTCCTGGCCCTGAAGTACGCCTACCTCAACAAGACCACCGTCAACGAGACTGTCTGGGAGACACAGATGAACCTCACCTACCCCTTCCAGGTAAGATTGGACGCTTTGGCTGTCTCAAAAGCTCACACACCTTCAAATTAGCTCTAAAACAGAGTGGATAGGACCTATACCTCCCCTGCACAGAATATACAAATGTACCTCGGACACAACATGCTTTTAAAGCCCATGGTTGTCTCAGAAGAAGCTCACCCACCATGTAGAAAAATTAGCTAGGCATTGCTGTTGAACAAAGAAAGAAAAAAAGGAAACCAAATACATTGTATAAGTTTGACTTTAACTGAGCTAGCTTAAGCTGGGATTGAATATAAACTTAATGTATGAGAGTAATGCTTGACAGGTCTATGTGGATTGAAATACGTACTAGTTTGGTCTTGGATGGTACTGAAGCTGATAGATGATAATGATGATTCTGATGATCTTTCCCAGAACATCACCTTCCTGGCTCGTGTGTGGAACAACACTGCTAACTACTCTGCCTCCGCCAACCTGACCTGGCTGACCCCGGCCAACGAGACTCGCTTCATCAACGTCTCCCACCAGCTGCTCAACTCCAGCATCGACAGCATCACCAACTTCACCTACATCTTCAACATCTCTTCTGTCGAGAGGTGAGACTCTCAATAAAAGCAGTCTTAAATAGTACTCAAATCTTAAATTAGATGGCTTTAAGTTAGAGGTGGCCTTTAAGATTTCTTTTGAACCTTTTGTCTGTTTGTCTACATTTAGAAGTAAGCTTGCATCTTGTCTTAAGTATTTCTTACCTCAAACTTCAACTTGAACCAAAAAAGTATTTCCTTGGACAGTATCTTGCCTTAGATTAGTTTTCTTAGATAAATTATAACAAATTCTTGTTGCTTTTGTGCCATAAGAAGTGGGAAACCAAAGTCAATTTTTCTCCTTAACTCTTGTGTTAGGAGATGTTCAAGATCTTCTTTCAACAAGAAGATGATTAAAATGTCTTTTAAGGACAAGAAGTTAAACATATCTTATTCCCTTTCTGGCAGGTACCTGTGCATCAATGCCAGCCTGGTGAACACCACCCAGGAGTACAACTCCACCCTGAACGTGACCCTGTTCATGCTGAACTCCACCATGTACAACATGAGCTTCTACAACTGGACCGCTGCTCTCTCCATGAGGAACATCAGCCAGGAGAGCCCCGAGCCAAACACCAACAAGTGGTGAGTATGCTTCTTTAGTTTGTATAACCAGTAAAACACCTCAAGGTTTAACACTGTAAATTATAGATGTTCACAGTATGTACAAGCTGCGTAAGACTGATAGGTTTATCCATTGTCATCTTGTACGGTGTTTTAAACTGATCCCAGAGCTCTGAACTGGCTATTATATATAGTAAGATGATTTTTGGTTCATGCAAGAAGACAGTCCAATGAGTATAAGAGAAGTCCTGCAAAAGTAGCACTTTGTTTTGAAATGGAAGGCTTTCAGCACCAAGGACAGGTCCATTTGCGCAATTCTATGCTATACTTCATTGGTCTATCACTTTGAACTACTAGTGACTCTGACTTCTGACTAGTATTTCCTACAATCCCCCAGGTACTACGAGCCCACCAGTGGAAAGTACATCCGTAAGCCGCAGCCTGATGTGTGGGCCGTGAAGCTGAACCTGACCTACCCCAGCTACATCAACCAGAGCTCCCAGAACTTCACCATCTCCGCTCGCCTGGTCAACGCCACCCACGAGCAGGGACGCAACTACACCATTATCAGCAACATCTCCATCCCGGAGTTCAAGGTGTGGTAAACTATTAGACCACAAATTTCTTTACTTATTAGCCCAATGATTGTAATTACTTCCTTTATTGTATTGTGTTCCCTTTGTATGTGGTTTTAAAATTTCCTAAATGTAACTTCACAGGCATAGTAGATTCTGTACATTGGCTGAACGTACCATGTTTGTGTGAAACCCGTAATGTATTGTGCATAGCATGGCAGAATGTCTCGTTCAAGGCAGAATCCATGTATTAAAGGATGACATTCTGTCTATAGTTTTTAATTGTTATGTTGAAAAAGATACCGTCTGCAATTGGCAAAATTCTGATGCAATGGTGACCAAACATCCAGCAAAAACTGTGAAAAATCTGGTTTTCGTGCATCTGCCAACTTGCTAGTTCATGTGCATATTTTACAAATTTGCTTAATATAATATAGGCTTAACACTATCTGAATCTGCATCCACAGGTGAATGCCACCCACAACATGACCCTGCTGAATAAGACCCAGGGCATCGAGTTCTACTGGAACACCACCGCCTGCGCTAACCTGACTCTGCTGCAGAACATCACCATCTTCAACACCAGCCTGTGGAACATCACCCGGCTCAACCGCACCAGCCCCTACCAGCTGCAGAACGCCACCTGGACCGGCAAGCTCAACTACACCTTCCCCAGGAACGAGTCCATCCAGGTAAATATCTTTAACCTTCAGCTCTCTCTCTGTCTCTCTATCCAGTTTTTTTTCCACCAAAATTGCGGGTTAGACGGGCTTGCATCAAGTGCAAGTCTTTTTTTAAGCAAGATTTTTTACGGCTGGATGCTCTTCCTAACGCCAACCCAAACCCTAGTAGGGCCCAGGATCCCTCTAACTGAGGTTGGAAATATGTCTTAAGTGCCTTTCCACGCTAAAGTAGTTGTTTGGCTGTTTGAAAGCACTAGATTTGTGTTGGTTATGGTTTGGGTAGCAGGGAGAAGGTTAAAACTGCAGTTAAGCTGAAGCCCAAGAAAGAAAGCTGCAGCATCCTTTGAAACCGTAGATGAATAGAATCTGGTTTAGAACTTAAAACAGTTGAGCTTTTTATAGTCCTTTTGTAGCTTTGTTAAAAACTGCAGTTACTGTATACTGTATCTTTTAAAACTGGAGGTGTTCCCAAAATCTTGTTATTAATAAAATTTTAGAACCTATTTAAGATTTGAGATGACATGTTTCTTAATTTCTCTTCTCCTTCCCCCCAGATCCCTCTGCCCATCATTGGAAACCTGTCCCTGAGCAACATCAGCTCCGTGTTTGAGAACATCACCATGCCCGTCTACCTGGCCAACTACAAGCTGCCCTTCCAGATCTTCGGCATCAAGAACATCCCATGGATCCGCCAGGTATGTATCTGTATCTGTATGCCTGGTATAACCACCCTGTAGTGTAAAACCCAGCTTCTGTATTGTTCTGTATTATGTATATCCAGTATAACCGTGTAACATGCCATCTTCTGTATTATGTATAGCCGGTATAACCACCCTCCAGCATAAAAAAACACACCAGCTTCTGTATCTGTATCTGTATCTGTATAGCCAGTTTAACCACCCCTTTGTTGTAACACACAGGCACACAAGACAGTAGTAGGCTACATATATATTACATTCTATAATTTCTTACACCTAACCTTTGCACATCTAACTGTAAGCACTGTTTAAAGCTATCTAGTAAGGATGCTCCTACAGTACCTGGCAACAGCAAGTTCTAGGGAAAACAAGTTTTTAACCCCCACCATCCCTGGTTGCCAACAGGTTAACGAGAGCATGATTGTCCGTCTGCTGAACATCTCTTACTTCGAGCCCAAGTTCCTCGAGGAGCTGGAGCCCATCGTTGGGAAGATCGAGATCCCGCTGCCCAAGATGCAGATCATCCCCAGGCCTATCCTCCGCCTCATCAACTACACTCTGCCCAACATGACGTGAGTTTTCATAACCGATAACTTCTCAAACATTCCTACACTAAACTACACTCTGCCCAACATTACGTGAGTGGTCCTCCCTGATAACTTCTCAAACATAAAAGATACAATGTACACAAAACAAGTCAAGAAGAATCACAAGACAAACACCACTGAAAAATCTTTCAATGCTAATTGCACAAAGAGAATCTGGGACCAATAGTAATATTCAGAAATATTTGCACCTTTTTAAACAGGGTTTTCTATAACTTAGTCTAAATTATGTGTTTTCTAAAAAATTGACCATAATTTTAAAGAAACAGTTTCTTAAATTTTGTGAGCATATCACCTTCATGTAGAATTCTCTTCTCAGACTAAGATCCATGTAAATTTGTGTGGTTATATGACTGGAGCAAAAACTTGACAATACATTTTACAATGCAAGATTGTAATATAAAAATATATTTTCCCATTTTCAGCATCCCCAAGAACCTGAGCCTGCCCTGCCTGGGTAACCTGACGTACGAGATGAACCTGACCAGTCCCATCTACAACATGACCGTCAACAGCACCGTGCAGAACGTCACCATCGCACGCAACGTGTCTGTCATCAACGCTTTCGTCAACGTCACCTCCAACTCTTCCATGGAGTTCCTCAACTTCACCATGCAGGGTAAGTAAGAGTTTCTTGTCCTGCTGGCATTTTTTACACATTCAATATGTTTCAGTAACTTTACGTGATAATCAGGACTGGTCACAGACCCCTGGCTTTTTTTCCCTGCTGTGGCAAAGTTACTTCCACATTTGTTGCATTTCACTGCGGTGTGATGCATTGCACAAGAAATACCTCCTTGAAATCATACATATACAGGGCACTATATAGATGGTAGTATGTGCAACATAATCATATGGGCACCTTGGGAGAATGGTTAACAACTTGAATTCTGCGTCTGCACTAAAGAGAGGAAACACTTGTGAAAGAGAGGCAACACTTGTTCAAGATTTTTTCCATTCCAATTTTGCTCCTTGTCTCTTTAAAGAAGCTGTTGCTGTAAAAGGACTTAAAAGACTTGTACATTATAGAATTGAATATGCTATATTTTCATATAAAATACTGTATATACTTACCTGTGTTGTCACCTGCGCAGGTGTTCTGAACGCCACCCACCTGAACAACCTGACTGAGGTGAACATGACCTCCAGGCTGAACCTGACCCACCCTGACCTGACCGTGAACGTGACCCTGAACACCACCGGCCTCAACATCACAGGCATGAACGTCACCAACCTCAACAGGTCAGTGTGTAAAGTTAAAACTCTTGATCCAACACAAAAAGTTCTCTCACCTAGAGCTATCGACCAGTCACTCTGGTCTTCCTCAGTAGACTGACCCAGTGAGGCTTGTCACGTCGCTTCTTTGAAGTGTGACGTCAACACTGGGTCAAAGGTATCTGGTAGATGATATGGGTGAGATTTCTTCACAGGTTTTTAGTGTATAACTGTTCAATGATCACAAAAACAGGTTACTAACTTAAAGGCTTATTCCAATGTTTTCAGTATACTGTCAAAACTGTCTATATACCACAAGCATTAAGACAGGATTCTTAATGCTTGTGTCAATGGGAATAATTATCTTAGGGGCCGCCAAAAGTAGTCACATTGGGTAGATGGTCCTTAATGTGCAGAGTGGGCACTAGTATACAGGTTTGACTGTATCATTAAATGTGCAATAATCGCAAGAACATTCACTGTATCAATTATTAATCAAACCTGTAATTATCGTTTCTAATACCAATAGTGGATTATATGATGATGCATATGAGTGGATTATAAAATCAAGACAGGCCTTACAGTACATTTGTAGTTTCTTTTCATGTATGTTACAAAGATAGTGCAGTTTTTTCAAGTTATTAATAAACTTATCATTATGTTTCCCCTTCCAGCACCTTCTTCTTGAACATCACGGCTCCCCAGTGGGTTAACGTGACCGTGAACGTGACCGCTCGTAACGACACTCTGTACGCCAACCTCACCATCCCCACCTTCAACAGCTCCATGGTCCTGCTCGGCCAGCTCCCCAACAAGACTCGTCTTAATGTTACTCTCTACGTCAAGAACATCGTAAGTCTTATTCCTTCTCTCTGTTATTGTTTCTTACAATTATTTCAAGCCTACCCTGGCAAGGGAAAGACATGGTGTGCTTGAATAATTTACATTTTGTTTGTTACATGAAAGTTACAAAGCAATACATTCAAGTATCTGTGTCAGTAGCTGTATGGCCAGTATAACTGCCCTTTGGCATAACACACCAGCCACGGCCAGCATTATGTAGGTCTATGTAGTTCATTGCTAATTAAAACAAAAGTCAATAAACAATAATAGGAATTGAACTTCACAGTGTACATGTGTAACTGTTGGATATCCTTACTTTACCAAGGACACAACACCTAGCCAGAAATACCAGGGATCGAACCCATGACCTCTAAATCTCATGTCCACTAGCCTAGCCATTCAACATCACCTTTACTACAGCAGTGAAAATAAGACATCTCAAGTCTTACATACATGTACCGTCTTCCCTCCTCAGACCCGTGACATCAATGAGACCGTCCTGTCCTGGTACGTGACCCTGAACGAGACCTCCCTGCTGTACTCCAACCTGACCTGGAACCTGACTGCTCTGAACTCCACCCTGAACCTCACCCGCGCTGTCGAGCAGTTCTGGAACATCACCAGCAACCAGACCCACCCCATCAACAAGTACGCTGTGCAGTACCTCAACAAGACCGTCGCTGAGGTAAGCTTTCTATGTTTTAAAATTACTATTACAACAGTAACTGCTCTTCATTGATGGACACTAGCCATGAAGTGATGTACCTCAACCCCTTCAAAACACAGAAGCTGAACACTGCTGCTGACATATCCTCAATTTTGCAGTACACACAAAAATGAAAGACATTTATCTTTCAGAACTTAGACTTACAAAACTGATTGAGGGATTGAAAGTGTGAGTGTAGCTTGAACGACAGTAACAAATTTAACACAAAATTATGTGAACTAAAATTACAGTGTCACCTTCAATTGAAGTTAAAAACATGATGCTTTTGGAAGTAGCTAGACACCCTAAACTGACAGTGTCTCTTCCTTCCTTCCTTCAGTGCTTGAACACGACCGTGAACTACACCATGACCCTGGTGAACTCCACCGTCAACTACACCTACGAACTGGTGCAGAACCTGACCGTGGGAACCCCCCTCTTCAACGTCACCTTCAACGGCACCGACATGATCCGTAACATCACCAACATGATCACCTACAACACCACCGAGTTCTTCAACAGGACTCTGCCTGGTAAGTTCTAACTCTCAGGATGTGTAGGTAGTAAATCGGCACTAAGTTTACACTGGTTATGTGGTGAGTTAGTTGAGAGAAGGTTAAAAATGATCACCTACAACACCACCGAGTTCTTCAACAGGACTCTGCCTGGTAAGTTTAACCTGTACCCTGCTAAGGTAGCCATTTGTTACCGGTTGTGCATTGGCTTTGTGGTTAGGAAGCAGAGAGAAGGTTAAAAATGATCACCTACAACACCACTGAGTTCCTCTATGGGTAGGTCTAACCTGTAGCCTGCTAAGGTAGCTATTTGGCACCTGTTGTGCATTGGATTGTGGTGAGGAAGCAGAGAGAAGGACAAAAATGTTCACCCACAACTCTGGTCTTGCCATTTCAAAATGTTCAGCCTGGATGACCAACTTCTACAAGTAGTTTTGAGTTACAAGTTGTTAACTTCAAAGCAAGTTCAAAGTTACTTCCAAGGCAATTCAGAAAGAAGTACAAGCTTGTTATTTCTGTAATGTTGATAGCATAGAGAATAAGGATAAAAGCTAGAGAAGTCTAACGGATATACCTCCACTTGTTTCCCTCCAGCCTTCATGGTGAACTTCTACATGTACGAGCCCATCACCCAGATGATCGTGAACTACACGATCAACGCCACCATCCCGCAGAACCTCACCATCACCAACGCCTCCATCAACGCTCTGTCCTACTTCCTCTTCCCCGGGTACCAGGTACAGCAACCAGTTTAAGCTCCCATTAAGGCCACACCAATTTAATTTGTTGGTTCTCGGATTTTTTCAGAAAAAATATGAAGCAACAGGGCGGAAAAAAATAAAAATAAAAACATGTCTAGGCATCCTATTATAGCCCCAAATGCTTCGATAGGAGCCATGAAGTCAACACAGAAGACTGGGGTAAAAGAATGAATTTTGAAGTTTTAATCAAACCACTGTATTGATAGATGGAAAAACTGTAACATGTAGGAAGAAAAGGACTTTCCTCAACTGTTGAGGGCAAAATATGACCATTTTTGAGTTTATTCAGAACCAGAAATTTTTTTTTTTTTTGCAAATCAGAAAAAAATGAAGAGGCGAATCCGAGAACCAACAAATTAAATTGGTGTGGCCTAAGCTGATCGGACAGACACAAAAACTCCTTCATTGTGAGAGCCGTAAAAGACTTGTGATGTGTATTAGATATTGTATTTTAAACTGAAATCGTACTATTTTAACCTACGTGTTCTTGATGATGATTTTTGAATGATGATGATGTTTTTAATCTATTGTGATGATGTTGTATGATGTATAATTGTAAAATGTCAATGCAATTCAGACGTGCTCGAAGCACTTCGGCACGTCAGGGCTCGAAATTAACATTGTCCCAGTGTCAAATGACACTAAATTTTCAGCTTGGGACAATTCAAATTACATTTCGGGACAATTTCGGGGCAATTTAAAAATTCTCATCTGAGACTGTCCATGTCATTTAGGAGCATGATCCATCCTGCTGCAGGCTGCCGGCCCATAATACTCTGACAAACATTTAAATTTGACCAATCGGGGATTCCAAATGTTGCATGGGGAGAGGGGCGTTGAAGATGCTGCTGCTCCCATGATACTATCATTCATTTCCCTACAGTCAAGGAAAATGATGGACATTTACTGTACTAATAAAGTGGACCTCAAGTTGTACAAATTCAGTTGTTGTTGTTTTCTTATTGTTGTCATAAACTTATTTCCCGAAAAGCAGGCTGGGACAGTCCATCCTCAGTTCGGGACAATTGAAATCTATTTTTGGGACAGTTCTGGGACAATTGTAAAAAAAGTTAACTTCGAGGCCTGCACGTCTGCCATGTTGATATTTAATAAAGATTTGATTTGATTTGATTTGATACCAGTTCACCAACAACTCCATCTGCGTGAATGTCACCCACCCCATGAACTGGACCAGCTTCTACGAGCTGCCAACCATGAGGAACGAGACCGCCAAGAGGAACAAGACCTGGACCGAGGAGGTCGTCACCTACTTCTACGACATGGTCTACACCAAGCCTGTGTACAAGCAGCTCAACATGTACACCACCAGTGAGTTGGGTTACTTATTTGTTTGTTTGTTTGTCTTTGTAAGAAAACAGAATGGTTTAGAACATTGTAGAATTGAAGAAATATACGTCAACAAGAGTACAGGAACATGCACACCATGAGTGAGTGGGTTTACTTGTGTAAGGAGCATAAAATCAAGTTATTTTGTTATTTCAAGTTAAGACTAAGTTATTTTGGTTTATTACAACATGTGAAAGGGGCCAGAAAAGATATAATACAAGAGCATTGCAAGTAGAAGAAATTAGAGCAAGAGCATGGAAACATGAAAAAGTTCAAATTCAAGACAAAATCTGCAACAAATTGCTATCAGTGACATACATGTACCAGTTTTCCTATCAGTGTTCATCCCTTTATATTTCTTACAACTAAAAGTTTGGTAAAAATCAGATCAACCTGACCACCCTTTTCCTATCCACAGAGACCGGCATGATCTTCGGCAAGAACAACGTGTACACCTTCGATGGCCGCATGTACGCCGTCCCCGAGTACAACCACGAGGACTGCATGTACATCATGGCCCGCGACTTCCTGGATAAGAACTTCACCATCCTCAGCAGCCCCAAGTCCATCACCGTCAAGCTCAGGGAACTGGTCGCCAAGATCAGCGAGGACAGCAAGGTCTACATCGATGGTAGGTTTATCTTTATTTGTTGTCTGATCATTTGATTACAATATTACTGTTCTGATGATGTCTAAAGGCTGAGTGACTTGGTTAGCGGACACAAGATTGAAAGGTTGTAAGTTCTCAATTTTCAGTCACCAGCAATGAGTAGCATTGTCTTTGTCTCGCTAGTGAACTGAACAGAAATCTATTTTCCTATCTTTGTTGAACACATAGATCAGATTCTCCAACTTGTCTGTTCATTATCTGAGAATATACAATGATATAAGACATTCAAAGTAGATAATTAAATGTTTAATTTTATGAAAATCAAAGTACATCCTGTTTTTGGGGGTTTAAAATTTGGAACACTTTTAATTTTATTTAATTAACAGCAGCAGATATATCTAATGAAATGATTTTTAAGAACATCATGATAATTATTGAATTGTCTTTCTAAGACATTGATCTAACGTCTTCTCCCTCCCTTCCGCAGGCTCCAACCAGCCCACCGAGCTTCCCTACCAGACTCCCGAGAAGAACGTGACCATCACCCGCACCGGCGTGTTCGTCAACGTGACCACTCGCTACGGCGTCAGCATCATCTGCGACTCCGTGAACCAGCTCTGTGCCTTCAACATCTCCGGCCAGTACCACAACAAGACCCTGGGCCTGCTGGGTACCAACGACAACGAGCCCTCCACCGACTTCCGCCGCCCCAACGGCCGCAACACCTCCAACATTGCAGAGTTCCTCAACTCCTACGAGGTGACCGGATACAAGACCTGCAAGCTGAGCCCCAACCAGCAGTACAACAAGGTGCGTTTCTCTAGACTTTGTCTTTTATTTTATTGGATGTCAGATCTATTCAGCCTCAAACAAAAGTACAACAAGGTGTGTTTGTTTTGATATAATAAGATCTTAACAAAATAAGGTCACAAACCAAAAGTACAAGGTTTGTTTCTCTCAACTTTGGAAGTCTTTTGTAAGTTTTGTTTGGATATTAGATCTAATCAACCACAGCCAAAAGTACCAAAGTTTGTTGGTCTCTTTGCATAGTTTGTATTTTATATTAAAATTAGGGCTAATATGCCCTTAGCCATCAATAAGTATAAGCCATGTAGTAAGGAATTTCTATCAAGGTTATAGTCAAGATTTAGATGTAAAATTTTAGGCAGTGCTGTTAACTATAATCAACTAAGAATAGTCTAAATTTGTGACTTTGACACCGATTATGTAGCATTCATATATTTGTCTTGAGTTTTCATATATTGATATGACTATCTACTGTCATTTTGAGGATAACTCAACCATCTAGATTGTGTAATATGCTTGTCGACATTTCTAAAGAGAAATATGACATCTATTCCAGGTCGCCAAGGTCAAGCTGAGCAAGGTGAACCCCATCTGCCGCCAGCTGCTGAACGAGCGTAACACCACCTCCCCGTACGCCAAGTGCTTCCAGACCGTCGACCCCAAGCCGTTCCGTGAGGCGTGCGAGTACAGCTCCAAGTACCAGAGCGAGGAGAAGGCCTACTGCGCAACCATCGGCGCCTACGTCAGCCTGTGCCAGTCTAAGGGCATCTTCATCAACCAGACCGCTCAGTGCAGTAAGTGTTCTCTTTATTTTGATGTCCTTTAGCCCAAAAGGCTAATCTTCCAGGGCTCATACAATTGTTATAACAAGTGTTATCCTTCCAAATCTTTGACAAAATGAATGCGTATTCACAGCTGAGGCTGTATGTTTTATTTTGTTTTATTTTCTGATAAGTCAAAGTAACAAAATTCAGCAAGGAAGCAAGAAGAAAAACATTTCAAGAGCTAGAACAAAAGCTTCAGTTACATTATGATACTTGAACTTTCCATCAAGTAACTTTCTGTCAACATCATAGATAATTTCATTCTTAGTCTCCTAAAAAGTTCTGGTAACAGCAAAACAATGTAACTACAAGATTTAGTTGTAGAACTTGTTGTTTGAGAGAAGTTTGCATCAAGACGAGAACACATCAAAGCTTCAATTCCTAGATTTAAGTACAAAAAGATAAAACAATGATAGAACTAACGCTCACTCTTTTCCCTCTCCCCCCAGCCGTGTGCGAGAAGACCCGCCAGCTGAACGACACCTGGTGGCAGAAGAGCCGCAGGACCGCTGACATCGTCCTCATCGTGTCCGAGAACATCCAGCTCACCAAGAAGTCCAACCCCGAGCACCAGCTCAAGAAGCTCATCCAGAAGCTCAGCGAGAAGAAGTCTTACGACGTACGTTTCTTTTTCTTATAGATTTCTCATGCAGTCTCTTAAAGATGTTGAAAACCTTAACCCAATTCAGGGTGGGTCATGTAGGCAAAAGAAGTATAATCATATGTGGTTTCTGAAAGATTTCTCAGGACATTTCTTTAAAATTTCTTTAAAATGTCTTGTGGATACATGTTCTCAAAGATGTTTTGTGAAGATTCTGAAAAACTGCTTATGGATACACTCTCGCATGATGTTCTTTAAAGATTGCTTTTTAAGTTTCTTGCCCAAGAATCTGGTACGGTAACACAACAGTTCCTTCCCAAATAGTCTCACGAGGGTTCTTTGAAATGTTTGAAGCTTGATTTTTGATGAATAGAAAATTGATCCTATTTGTTGTTGCCATGCCAACAGGACATCCGCGTTGCCATCGTCGGCTTTGGAGGCAAGGATGTCCACGAGCCCGCTCACGTCCACACCATCAACGGCGAGCTGTTCGCTCAGATGAAGCCCAACGAGGTCAACAAGGCCCTGAAGGAACTCGCTTTCGAGGGTAAGAAAGAACACGTCTTAAATCTTAACAAGCCTTGTCCTGTAGAGCCCATAGATATATATATATGGGTTGCACATACGTTTTGGGGTATTTCTTTGCAATGCATCAAATCAAAGTGAACCGCAACAAATGCGGAAGTAACTACACCACCGCATTGCAAAACAAGTCAAGGGTCTATGACCTGATTAAGACACCAAGGTAAGGTACCAACTTTGCTTTGGTTACATGGTTAGGCAGCATACAGAAGGTTGAAAATGATCACATGGTAACTAGTGTGGTGTGAGCCGCAGTTTGTTAGGCTATAGCTAGACAGTGCAAAGGTAAATGTTATGCATTTGTTTTGTACATTGTTACCTTTCTAGTTTTTAATGTAATTTGATTGTTATTTCCAGGTAAGAAGACCACCAACGCCATGGAGGCCATCAGGCTGGCTGCCCAATACCCCTTCCGCCCCGAAGCCTCCAAGGTCTTCCTGCTCATCACCGAGGAGGACAAGGTACATGTTTGTTTGTTTAGATGTTAAACAACCACAAACAACCACATATATATCATGAAAGTCCATCTGTGTTGGTAGTTACATGTTTAAACTTTCGATCCAACTTACACAAAAAAATATGTCTCACCGAGAGCTGACCCAGTGAGGCTTGTCACATGGCTTCTGGGGAAGACCAGAGTAACTGGTCGAAAGCTCTAGGTAAGAGAACTTTTTGTGTTGGATAAAAAGTTTTAACTTTAAACAGCCACACATGATCTTCCTACTTATCACCAAAGAGATACTTCTTGTGCTTATCTTCTTGTCTAGATCTGTCTAGTAAGTGATCTTCATGCCTAAAGCAGTTTTTAGCTTGGCAAGGAGTTCAGCTTGAATGCATTTTTCTGTGAAAGTTTCATCTTTTTCTTACTCTTAGTTTTCATAAAAATATGTACAAGAGTTTTACAATTATAACACAACAATTATAAGTGTTTGAAAGCAATTTAAACATAAATCAATTGTGACTTGTTACTACTAGCAACTAGTCAAATGAAGAACCACCATCTCGATCCCATGAGAATTGGTTAAAGATCTTGCGTAGATCTTGAAGAAGTTTACTGACGAGCCTCGTGTCTTATTCCAGGTCGAGAAGAACCCCCAGGAGATCCGTGAGATTAAGAAGATCCTCGCCGAGCAGTCCATCACCCTGAACGTCTTCTCTAGCTACAAGGAGATCAAGAAGTCCAAGGTGGGTCAACTCTCAGGAAGACACACAAGGAACTCTGAAAATTCCATTATGAGACATTCCATTATGCTGGACGAACAGATACAAAAACTCTCCTATTCCCTACTTGACACATCTCCTAAATCAGTGATCTTAAGGTCTTGTATTTATTGGTTTATTTGTTTGTATCAACATATCAACAACATATCTCCCCGCCTTGACATACAGGGCTGAATTCTGATCAAGTTGTTTACAATATGAATTATTAATAGTAGGGAAATACAAATTACAATCATATCGGAATCTACATATTAATATATCACTTTGGTTCGAAAATTAGGTATTTACAATTTTACAATCGTACAATTGTCTTGTTTTGTTTTCACAAATAAACCATTTGATTGCTTGATTGATTGCAGGTTGACCAGATCTACGGCATCAAGTACAACCTGGAGATCATCTCTGACAAGAAGGTGCCCAAGAAGCACTCCATCTCCGGCCTGGTCAAGCTGCCCAAGGGCGTCTACGTCGAGCTCTGCACCGCCACCAAGGGTGGGTAGAAGTCTAGATATACTGCCTGTATACAAAAAACAACAACAAACATCGTTCAGTATGTCAGTAATGCAAGAACAGCCTGGATGCAAAAATATTTGTCATATTTCAGAACACGTGTGTTTGCAATGCATGGCTTAAGACAAAGACTTAAGCTAAAGACAAGTTCAGTGACATATATTTCTAGCCACACTGCCATAATGGCCAATTTAGTCTAATTCCATGCAAGCATGTGCCAAACATGATCAACTGATACCAAACTTGGCCTGCCAGGCAGCACAGGCAATTCATGTGTAACCTATAGCTAGCTACATGTACCTTTTGGTAGTTTTTGAGTTATCCATAACTCTAACAGCCGTAATATACCTTCCTATTTGATATGTAGGATTTACCATTAAGCACAACACTTACGTTTTCTCTATTCCCCTCTTTAGGCTCCATCTTCTCCGTGGACCTTCTGCTGGAAGGCGAGCACCGTCTGATGAAGCAGGTTTCCGACATCGTCGTGGACCAGATCGAGTCTCAGTCCGGCATCGAGAAGATCTGCAGGTGCTACCAGGGCCCCGCCGGCGAGGGCGTCACCAAGTGCAAGGTTGTTCCCGTCTACTATTAAAGTGAGTACTGGGGGCTTCTGCTTTGTGCTGTTTCATTATTGAACCTCCTCTTTCAAAGGTGCAAACAAAGTTTAGTTTCCAGAACTGTTTGTTTTCTATTGCTGAGAGAACTAAGTTCATGTCCTTTTAGATTACCTTCTGTTTCTATGAGTTTTGTTAGTACATATTTTCACAAGTATTTCAGAACATATTTAAAGCTCCTTGTTCACCGTAACAATACTACCTTAGGTGGCTTAGATCTAATCTGTTCTGATTAGATTGATGCAAATTCTTCTAGAACAAAAGGTTATTTTCAATCAGTAGTTTGGTCACTTGTTTATTGTGTGTTGCTAGTTTTTCTCAATCTGATATGTGCTAACAGTTTTCTTTCTTTTTGCATTTTCTGCAGCTGGACAAAAAAACAGAAACATCAAGAACGACCCCCACAAATGACGACAATAACGACGCTGCTAAACAACGTTACTCATGATGTAAAATGATTTTTTTTATTTAAAAGTGATCAAAAGGAACTACTTTTTACCACCAACTCTCAAGTGTTCAAGTATAGATAGCTTTGTATAACTATGTTGCAAGGACATATTGTTCCATAAAAAGATATTATTAAATATTGGAATTGTTCATTTGCAACTCTGGACTGGTCTGTTTTACTTTAGTCTGGCATCAGTGTGAAAAAGTGTGTGAGTGAGTGAGTGAGTGAGTGAGTGAGTGAGTGAGTGAGTGAGTGAGTGAGTGAGTGTGTGAGTGAGAGAGTGAGTGACTGAGTGAGTGAGTGAATGTGTGAGTGAGAGTGTGAGAGAGTGAGTAAGTGGTGAGTGAGTGAGTGGATGAGTGAATGTAAATGAGTAGATGAATGAAGTAAAAAGACTTGAATGAATCTAATCCAAGCAGATGAGAGGTGGTCAAACTTACTTTAAATTATTTAAACTTTACATTCTTGGTATCAATTGTACTTTTTTTCCATCGAGGAAAAAACTTAAGAAAAAGGAGCCAACTCACCTGCTTGGAACACAGAAAAGTCCCATATTCACCAGAATCAGGCCCCCTATAAAACATAGCATATCAAAGTGTAAAAATACTGTATCAAGAGTATAAGAATTTTATAATATTCACATTGGTGAATATTATAAAAATCCCAACAAATATCAAAACAAACTCCCAATCTCTGCAAAAATAGGCTCTGGCAGAAGATAACTGTGACCCATAGTAAGAAATGTTAGCCAAGTTACAGTCAGGTCCAAGAATAGGATAAAAACATGCACCACAACGACACATAAAGACTGAGAATACATAAAACTGTAATGTACAAACGCACAAATCTACCCCATGCATCTCCTTGGAGCCACATCTCAAGATCAAAAAGGCTTGAGGGACAAAACCTTGGTTTAATCTCCAAGCAGATCATACGGTGGCAAGGCAGTATCCCGAAGTGGTGGCTAATGGACACTCCTCTGGCCGATGGATACTGCCTTGCCACCGTAGGATCTGCTTGGAGATGGCTAATGGACACTCCTCTGGCCAATGGATACTGCCTTGCCACCGTAGGATCTGCTTGGAGATGGCTAATGGACACTCCTCTGGCCAATGGATACTGCCTTGCCACCTTAGGATCTGCTTGGAGATAGCTAATGGACACTCCTCTGGCCAATGGATACTGCCTTGCTACCGTAGGATCTGCTTGGAGATTACCTTGGTTGTATAGAGTGAGAGTTTGGTTTAGACTCCCAATATCTGCTTGGAGATTACATAGAATCAATGTACAACATGGCGGGGCTATGGAACATGTGTGCCTTGCAGAAAAAATGTCATTGAGCAGAGGAATACACCTCAAGGTCATAATTCTACAAGATGGCGGTGATGAGGAGACGTCAGACATTACAGTACAGATCTCGGGATAAGCATCAAGTCCCGCGGGAGATCCCGCGGGAGTTTGCGGGATATCACGCGGGAGTTTGCGGGATCTTCCGCGGGAGTTTGCGGGATCTCCTGCGGGAGTTTGCGGGATCTCCTGCGGGATTTATCGGGATATCCCGCGGTACGAAATCCTCTCCCGCAACCCCGATCTTCGGTGTGAGACCTTAGGTTTCCGAAGGGCCGGCGCCGCTAGTTACTTGAAGTTGAACCGCGTTGACTACAGATTTTTACGCAGACGATGCGTGCATGTTTTAGTATGTTTTCAATGCATGCAAATAACAGTAGAGCAAATAGTATTTTTAACCAAACATTTCTTTTTTTTAATATCGGAAATCTGGTGGCTTAATAAGGTACAGAACGATAACAAAGTAATACAACCTTCTTGAACAAGTTTTGTGTCCGGCCTTGCGACGTGGACGGCTTTATTTTGATGTCACCCGACCCGCGCTATTTCAGATATAATTTTTAAAAAATCTATCGCATCGACGTGCCAAATATAAATCGCCACTCAAGTTATTTATTTTTCTCCTAGATAGGGGAGGTTGACGTATGGAGTTACGGAAGAGAGATTAAACATTGTGTAAAACAAGGGGGCGAAGCATAATTCAAGCGTTCTTTACGCCTCAAACTTTGATACATTTCGTGCGCCACGCAGTGTTCAGGGCCTGCATGGGGGTTACTGATTACGAATTACGCAAAATTTTCGCTATAAAGTTAAAGTTTCATAGCTGATTACGACTTTTACGCTTTGCGGCTAATGTACTGATTACGAATTACGTTGATTTTTGGGAAGGTTGCCTTCGGTTTACGAAGACAATGAATAAAAAAACGACCTGATTACGCCTTACGAAAAAGGGACGATGCAGACCCCCACGTGTTGGGCCGGGCGTTCCCACGCCGCGTCGCCATAGAAACCGCACGTCGCCAGCAGCGGCAGCGGCGCTGGCAGACTCCCCGGCGCCGA